GTGAACACCATGAGGTAAAGCGGGTAAAAAAACAGCCCCAAATGTTTTAAAAGCAAAACTTGCTGAGATTTATGGAATGGGAGCACTCTGTTTACTGTAAGAGAAGCTTTGCCATCAGCTTCAAAAGAAGTCGTTGTAGGTTCTGAATGTTTGTGATAGTTATAACCCAATTTATCCAGATAACAAGGTCTCTGTTAGCTAAAATCTTGGCAACACCATGAACTTCAGTGAAGACTGTGAAAGACTGATAACAATCAACTTGACTGTTGATTGACCAGTAACACTGACCTAGGAGTTGAAGAGCTGTAATATGGCATTTAGTCTCCTTTCCTATAATTAGTTGTAATAAAATCGTGTTGTCATCAATGTTACCATAATGGTATAACAAGTTGTTTATATCAAAATATTACAGATGCGGGTAGTGATTTTCTGCAGGCATTTGCAGACAGTAAAGCTAGACTGGCAGACTAGAAGCTGCTCTGAGTGCTCCAATGCCTGCATATGCCTCTGTCATGTATAAAACTGGGCCATTTTAAATAAACAGTTGAAAACCTAACACTTTCCAATTTAAAATGGTTTTCTTAGTTTAAAAGGGTCTTACTCTCTTTTTAGAAGTTCCTGTATTTCCACCATCTGCTCTAAGTCTTTGAAATCTGACAGCCAGTCCATGATTTGGAGAAGCTGAAGTGAACGGGAGGAGTGGATGTACTCTTCCTCAGGCAGCACCACAGTGTTCTTTGGAGTGTGAGAATCCAGAAGCTTTGGGAGGCTAATCTTGTTACAACCACGGTTTTTCTATATAACCACAGGCAAGTCTATCTTAATTTCCATCCATGCACAGTGGCGATACTTGTATCAGCTCATAATGTTACTATGGATGTAAATTAACATTTGTGACTCGGAGAACAGACAGAAATGAATAATTGTCAAACATGATACAGAAGAAGTGGTAGAGATCAAATGCTCAGAGAGTTCAAATAAACATACTGAAAGTAAGTGTCCTGCTCCTCATGCCTGGATAAGGTTGGAATTCTGGGGGAGAAACAGTGATGCAAATAAACTCTGGTTCATAATGCATGTGGAGAAAAGGGCTTGATTCAAGTTACATAAACCTGAATGTGTCCTGGCACAGCTAAGCTCGCACATTCTTGGCTTTGGAAATCAAAATCCTGTTCCTCACCTGCTGCTTTACTGGGTACCTGGCTGTGCACTGCATGCAGAGTCTGTCTGTCCCTTTTAATTTGCTCTTAGAAATAGCTCTTGTAATCTGTTTCTCAGAAAGGGGTTCCTCATCACCCTGTGAATGATTTTTCCATTGACTTCTTACACCACTCTACTAAGGAAAGACCTGCTGTTACCACCATTGGTAGCACTGACTGAATTATGGGGCCAAGCTATAAGACTGAGAACTGTGAAGAACTATCTGAACCAAGAAAGGCATTCAGATACCATTACTGATAGTTTTCAGAGCCTTCACTTTTCCCATTTCCACTTTTGTTTCGTGATGTGATTCAGTCCTGTTTTGTGGCCCAGTGTTTTAACTCTTTATGTAACTACTCTTGAAATCCAAATGCTCTCTGAGTGAATTCTTCATAGCGTTCTAAAGGCTTTGTCAGTATTATTAAATATATGTCTGTTTTTCAAATTGCTGAGTAGCCTTAAGTTGTGCTTTGTGGCAGGTGTACAGGCTTGTGCTTCTGTACAAGGTATGGAACCATGGGCAAATTTGTTTTTTTTTCTTCTGCTTTAACTGAATTTAGGGAAAAACCACACTCATACAGTCTCTATCCTAGCATGCTGAAATGGATTCCTTTCCGAGCTATCTCTTATTTTGACTCCCGCACTGAAGGCAGGTGGGTTCTGTAAAGCTTATGTAAGGGAGAGAGAGTGGAACCTTGTCCACCACTTGCCTACACCATTTGGTGCTGTGAAAGCCCAGCAATTAGCACTAGCTAATTAACTTTATGTCACTACTGCACTGAAATGGTCTCAATTTTTAAAGGTATTTATGTAGTTGATTTCCCATTTTCAATAAGAATTAGCTACCTCATACCTTTAAAATTTAAGCCCTTATCCAGTCTTATGCTTTCCAACATAATCTGTCTGTTGCATGTGTATATTCTGTTCCTCTCCATACAATCTATGCGCCCAAATTATAAATATCAAATCCCTGCAGGCCAACCATTTATTGAAAATTTACCTTGAGAAGCACCGTATTTGCTGGTCTGTGAAAGACAACATGAACAGGCCCTCCAGACAAAGGGGGTTATCAATCAGGAACATGTGGGGAGAGACACAAGATATCACCCTGTACAACATGTATGGTCTGCAGAGGAACTGGAGTGTAATAAATTTCTATGTGCAAAGCAGTGTTTTACCAAATTGAATGAGATTCTAATTTTGTTTCTTTAACCCAACAAATATTTTTACTACAGGGAAACTTTCTCCAATAAGGAGTAAGAATCAGCCAAGACCTCACATCCCAATCTCCTGCATTTATCATGACACCCTTGGTTGCAATAGTCTGCCCTCCTTCCAGAAATATCAGGAAAAAGAGCCAGCATTTAAGCTATTCCTCACAAGTATTTTCCTGCAATAGCAGACATGGAAGCCTAGTGCTTTTATTTTTCTGACTTGTCTCAGAACTTGCAAAGAAATTACTCCTCACTGGAACTGTGCAGTAAGAAGAGATGTACTGAACAGTTTTGGGAAGAGTAGAGCTAGGCATCTAAGACAGGGATCTTCAAAAGTGAAACAGTAAGTGGGATGTTGCTTACCAGTAGAAAATGATGAGAAGAGGAGCAACTGTCAAGTGCTCGTCCTTGAAAAAAGCTATATCCCTACCTTAGTGAGGTGATGAGGCAATTTTGTCTATTCCAGATTTTGTAGATACTGAAGTGAGTCCAGCAAGAGGCTTTGAAGATGAGTATAAGGAGAGGCTGAGAGAGCTGCGACTGCTCAGCCTAGAGAACAGAAGGCTTATAGGGAATCTTATTAATATGTATAAACACCTGAAAGGAGATTGCAAAGAAGAGGGAGCCACGCTCTTCTCAGTGGTAGCCAGAAAAAGGACAAAAGGGAACATGAACAAATTAAGAAATTATAAACGCCATCTAACCACAACAAAAATTGTTTTTAGTGAGGGTGGTCACACTAGAAGAGGTTGCCAGGTTGCCCAGAGACGCTGTGGAGTTTAATATGCAGATATTAAAAACCTGACTGGACAGCTACTTGCTGTAGCTGACCCTGCTTTGGGAAGGTAGTGCCTGGAGTAGATGACCTCCAGAGGTCCCTTTCAACCTCAACAATTCTATGTTGAGATAAACCAAAGACACACAAGAATCCCAAGCCTTTTAGGCAACAATGAAATCCCTTTTCTGACACTTTCACTCAGCTTAAGTAATAAAATGGTCATTAAGTGACAGGGAAAATGAAAAAAGTGACTATAGCTAGAGGGTTACAGTAAATCAGGTTGAAATTTCTTGCTTCACATATTATTTCATAATGATATGAAGTATAACAGGTTTTGAGAAAAGCACTGAGAAAAGAAAAATGCTTTTCTCAGAACACCAACTGCTTGTGATAAGGAAATTTTCTGCAATCTTAGAAAAAGCAATTAAGTTCAGACCTAGGTCTCCCACATGCCAGCTGACTGTTCCAGTACTGGGAATATTAGGACAGTAGTAGTAGAAATATTAGGAATATTAGTTGGGAATATCATCCAGGAATTTCATAACATTGAGAGGGAAACAAGAGTGGAGTTTAGACAAGAACCTGTGGGTTTCATACTTGTGAGGATCTGTAAATTGTTAGGACATGACTCAGAAGAGAACTGAAATCAGTAAAATTAAATAACTTCACATGTACATACACATACATGTTCTTATGCACACAAACGTGAGCAAAAACAATGTGGAAAATCAAATGCAATACCTGAACAAATTAAAATACCTGAAAAAAAGTATTGTTTATCCTGAATCTAATTTGGTTGTAAGTGAAACCTGTGGAAAGCACCACTCAAAAGAGCGGTGGATTGTGCATTATCCTTGGTGGAAAATGAAAGGGCTGTGAAACACTCATTTGGCTGACCTCCAGATGCCTCTAAAAAGTCAAATCTTGCAGGTAGCTTGGGAACATACAGTTTGAAAAAACCTACTACCATGAACTGAAGTTCAATTGCTAAAGACAACAGGGTGCTGGCAATTATGCATGCTGGCCAGAATCATAATGGACTGTAATGCTCAGGAGGACAACAAGGGGCAGGCAGCAGCTGTGATGGGGGTTTTTGGGAGACTCAGAGCCTGGAATGACATAAAGGCTCAGACCATTTACTTTAATTAACTAAGTCTGATCCATAGCACACAAAGTAAGTAAAAGAAGTTCCTTAGGTAGTGTGTGGAAAATCATAGATAAATTCAGAGGAACTTAGGTCCTCATATAAAATGATGAGAAGGCATTTTTGTATCAAGTGGCAAACCAAATCCTCAAAGGATTCAGCTGCTGCAGTATATCAAACATCATAGACTGCTGTCCACAGAAGAGGGTCATGGTAAGAGCTACACACTTCAAAGGGAGGCTGACATCAGGCAACACATTAGAAAGGACATAAAAGTCAATGTCTTAGGTATGCTTTTATCTGAGGTCACTGAAATCCATATTTCAGGGAAATACTGTGTACACCACTGAGGTGATGGTGGGGACAAGGAGTTAGGAGTGGTGTGAGGTAGACCCCACAGTCAGGTTGAATTTGTGACCCTGAAAAAGACAGAATTAAGATTCATTGGACTAATGAAAGCACACGAACAAAAGCATGAAAAAAGCACATGAAAGCAAACATGAACACGATTCTGTAATTTGATGGCTAAATACTCTTGTGGGATTGAGGATCCCTTGATAAAAGGTATCCTCCTACTACTTTTCACAGACTACTTTTCATCTGGAAAAGGGTCTGGAATTTCCCTGAAGCATTTCGGAAATAAAAACCCAGTAACATCCAAGGCTTTGGGAAGAACATTTTATTGCTAAGCATATCTTTAAACAAAATGCTAATAAGAAAAGAAAAAGAATCAAAAAGGAAGAAAAAGAAAGGGAAAAAAAGCAATAACATCACAACAACTCAAATAAAAATTCTAAAGGTTGTCCATAAAGCAACAGGGATATGGTAGAAGCCCACATACAGAAATGCACATGTTCCCAAAAACTGTCCAATAGGAACTTACACAAAGAAAGGAAAGTGTAAATCTTTGTCCCTTAACTTAAAAAAGGAAAGCAAAAAGGAAAGGAAGAAAGAAAGCAGGAAATCATTTCACAAGACTCCAAGACTCCAAGAACAGCAATCTTTTACAGACATCAAGATATAACCAACTTTGTGTAGTTTCGGCCAGTTAAATCATCTAAAATCGTGCTTTCATACCTTTTTAAAACCTGTCTTTTTTTTTTTTCTTTTTAGTATAAAAAATAAAAAAGGAAAAAAAAGCTCAACCTCACACACACACCACACACACGCACACATACTCGCACTGAAAATATTGTTAACATGAAAGCATCTTCTCTAAATGTTTGAGAAGGCTGTTTCTTTGAATTTAAGTTCCCATGTGCGTGTGTGCATTTGATGACACTTCTTCAAAGTCAAATATTCATGCGATTTATAAACACCAGCAAGAGTAGATTTCTAAACCTAAACAGCTGATTAGTTTTCATCCATATACAGAAAAATTGTACATTTCTGATATTCCAGAGTCTCCATCCTGGTTTTTGTTTTTACTCTCTGTCTCTCTCTCCCTCATTTGCTTATTTGCACATTATAGGCATGGCCGTCAAACTGCCTGGCTATTGTTCTGTACAGTAGAGATAATCCTTTTCACAATAACTGGGAAAATTTAGAAACCAAACAAGCAAATTAAATTATAAGTTAAATAAAAACAGAAGACATTGCCAATTTAAACATAAAACAGTATATACACCATCAGGGTATCCATAAAGAAATTATACTAGCAAAAAAAAAAAAAAAGTAGTAAAATATGTAAACAAAATTTCAGATTTTTGTGGTTTTTTTTTTTGACACAGGTAACTGTGACAAAGCTAAAACACACACTCTTCACATTTTAAAGTTTGATTTTGTTGTCTGTTTTGTTTTACTTTGTTCTTCAAGAATATTCTCATTCCACATTAAAACCATAACAGAACTTCTATTCCAGTCGTCCCGTCAAACATACCATGATAAATATATCTGTGTGTATATATATATTATATTATTAAATTACTTTGTCTTTATTATTTTTGTGTGTCACAGCAGCTTCATTTATTTTCTTTTATATAAAAGAGAAGGAAAAGGGAGAATAGGGCAAATGGAAAGACAGAGATGATCTGAAATGTCAAGCTACAAAATTAAAATATTACATACGAAAAACAGTTTTATGTCAAAAAAACTATGTATTTTTCATTTTTAACAAGTATTTAGCTTTTCTGACATTTATGGGTCTTGTCACAAGTTGAACTCCAGTGGTGTCTTTCTGATCTCTTTATTAAACAGATTTATTATTATTTTTTGCATGCATTGCAATCAGTCACAGAACTAGAACCCAGAGGAAGGCTCCTTTATTTTAGCAAGGTATATTCAGCTCTGAATGGTTAACCGTTTTTTAAGCATTCTATTTTGAATCTTCAAATCCCTTAACCGTAGTTTGGCTGTGCTAATGCATACTAAGTGATATTCTCAAATAAAGTCAATGACTGATCAGAACAGACCCAAACCCATCTACTCTTCAGTTCAATTGCAAATACTGGAGCCAGATCCAAGGGAACCAGCTTTCCATGATAATTTTCTTTAGCACCACCCATCAGACACTTTCACTGTGTTGTTAGCAAACAACTTACTGCAAGACAACGGATTCTAGAGACAACACAACCAGATATGCAGAGTAAACACCATGGGTAGCTTTTGAGTTCATATATGGCAATAGTCTCTCTTTATTTATTATGGATTATTTTTTGTTCTGAGATTTCTTCTCAGGTCATGTCCTGGTTCACCCTCACACTGTTCCTCTCCACCCTTCCCTCCCACAACCCTAAGAACCAAAAAACACCAAACAAAAAACAACCAAGAAACAAAACAAAACCAAAACAAAAAACCAGCAGTCTCCAAAATCATTTATTCCCCTCCTCCAAACTCGAAAATTTATATGTATTCTGGACGTGGCCAGATAAGTTTGTTCAACATTTTTCTGTTGTTTAATAATCGCATTTTTTCTTTTCCCTTCTTTTTCTTTTTTTTTTTTTTTTTTAAATAAGTAAACTGAAAAATTATCGATACAGTCAGGGATCACGAACATTGTTAGACTCACTTGGAGATATGAAACAAGTAAGCCATGAAGTCTTCTACCTTTGCAGAAAGTTCAGCGGAGGAGGAGATTTGGAGACGTCCAAGTTCACTAACAGGGCAGAGCTGTGTGTGCCACCTCCAGAATGCTAAGTGTGCTTTATAATACATTAGGGCAGAGTTTGCTGACTCCAAGCGATGACTGAGACATTAACAGTCACTGCTGAAATTTTTTTTCCCAATACTTTTTCCCACAAACGATATCTCCCAATCATCTCGTTCGCTGCAATGGTTCTGATATTTCAGTTAAATCTCATTAAGTATTTATATATTTATATATAAATAAGTATTCTTTTTTACACATAATACTCTTTGTCCTTGTTTTTCTGTTTCTTGTGGCCACTCTTTGAGCTCTGCTGCTTCTCCTTCATGATCGTGCCGTTGCTCTGGGCTGAGTTGCTGATGTAGTTCCGCGTCTCATCCACCTGATAGGACCCCTCGTCCCTGTTCCTGTACTTGTACATGGCATACAGGAGGATGAGGATGCAGAGGGCGGCAGCAGCCACTATGCCGACGACCATCCCCGTTGTGCTGCTTGACTCACGGACCACCTCTGAGGCCCCCGGAACCCGTCTGATTCCTGGCTCTGTGGGGTTTGCTGTGGGCACATTACGGAACATGGGGGAAGTGATTAGCGGGCTCTTCAGCTTTGTGCTGTCTAGCTCATAGGCAGTGGGCAACGGAAGCAAGACTATGTCAGGCTGGGGTTTGAGCTCACGGTTATTCATTTTGCCAGCTGGCAATTTGGGAACCATCCCAGTCGAGGACGAAGTTGTGGAGCGGATCAGCTCAGGGGACAAAGACGTGGTAGTAGTCCTACCAATTTCGGAGACTTTGTTAGGTCTAAAGTCCTTGGATTCCCACTTGGGTGCGTGTGCTTTGTAGCCACCTTCGAAGATTGAAGTGGAAAGACTCTTATCTGTTACCAAGGAGAAGGTGGTGTAAAAATCTTCATCATCAGTAGGGGGTAGGTTAGAGTCAAAGGTTTCCCCTGAGCCATACCCAGATATCACCAAGCCATCATCATCACAACCATCGCTGCCTTGGTCCGACAAGCAAGGTAACCCCGCCTCAGAGGTCATGGACAGGGAATCTTTGGTGGTCTCAATAATGGTGAGGAGGGGGCGAAAGGTAGGGGGAAGTGTAATGAAAGGTGCACGAGTAGCAATAGGAGGGATATCTAAAGGGTCTTCTACAAGTAGAGGGATAATTAATTCACCTCCTGGGATAGAAAAGAGAAATAAAAGAAGATTAATACATTTTAATGACAAAACACACCATTTTCAATTCATTTAACTCAAGGGCAAGACAGGATTTGGGCACTAAGGGATTTGGTTTCTTGCCCTAACTACACTACTGACATACTTTCTTGGGGATGCCCTTCATTTTTCTCTCCCACCCTGCTTTTACATCGGTAAACTCCATGTTCCATTTCCTCCCTCTTTTAGCCTATGCCATGTATGCACAATGAAATACTCTGAATTTCTTGGGACTCAAATGTTTTGTTTTTTGAAGATACTCTCAAGTGACTCTGGGAAAATCAATGCTTAGTAGTGATCTTTCTTAAGCATTTGGTTAAAAGACTGTTTAAATGAATCTTATTAGACTTCCATAGAGCAATGTTCTCCTACGCGGTTTTTACCACACATCTTGCCAGTTTTTCTCCTCTGATTTCTTTAATTTACAATAACATTGGTATTCTTCTCTGCCATTCAAGTCTGCTCACCTTCTGTAGCAGTTTGTAAGGCCCTTCCCATTCATCCATTTCTTCTTGATTGTTTCCTTGCTTTTGAATTGTGGGAAAATTCATGCAAGACAGGGATGGAATAAGAACCAAGTACTTACTGGGGTCCATGAAGGTACAGAGCTCTACTCAATGCTTGTTCATCTCTTTTTAATCTTTCTTTACCATTCCATTCAACATTAGGGATGTCACTTCCCTTAGATCTTTTGGGGCTACTAATGTCATATTATCTTCATCTTCAGATCTTCTTGATATTCTTTTACTATGATTCAATTAAAAATTGAGATATACTTAATTGTGATTGATGATACAACTGAATAAGGACTTGACCTAAATTAGCACTTTCCAGGACGATACAGCAGAAGTTGTCCTCATGCCTACTGTTACTTCCAGATATGCAGATAGCTGTGATCCATGCTAATTTTTCCTAAAATGATGGCTATCTGCCTACAGAGGACTAAAAATGAAGTGGACTTATGGTCTGCTCTTGAAGTAGAACACAAAACTATAGCTGTAACATTTGTAAATTACCACTGTATAAGCTGCAACTGAAACCAGAAAATCAGTGCGTCATTTCTAAGATTTGGTTTCTGAGCAGCAATATTTCTGCTTTTCGGGTAGTAGTCCTATTTTGTGTACATATTGTAATATGACTGTACTTTTGAGCTTATGGCTAATTAACACTTCACTGTTTTGTTCTGATGTGGAGGCATAATTAATTTATCTAATTAATTTAGTTCAGATTATACAGTTGTACGCTGACATACAGGTGGCCAACACTTTTTTAGAATGAGTCATATTGCTTTTGAAAATTTGTGCATGAATTCTCCCTTGTAGTTTTTCTTTGGGTATCCACTTAAGTTAGCTGCTTGAAATATAAGTTGAAGAGTTCATCTGACACCATGAGTAGTCATCTAGATTTGTTGGAAGGAGTGCAACTCAGTAAGAACTATTTTTAATGCATGGGAAATTTTTATTTATACTCACCATTGCGTACGGAAAAATATGCAAAAGGTATTTTAGCTTCTAAAGAAATCATCCTGGCTTTTTCTTATGTATTAATAACTGCTAATGAACAGTTCAGAATGGCATCAGGGTCTAAATTTTGCTCTCTCCTATGTACACTACACATTGCATGCACTGTTTCCCATTGGATACTGTCAGTAATATCCATGGAAGTTCTATAAAGAATATGGTCTAAAATCATAATCCCTTCTAAATATATTTGGAGAGCAGTATATTTGAACAAATTACATATTGAATTTAGCTATATACTGAAAAAGATACTTTTCAGTTCGATTAAATCTGAATAGCTGAACTAGTAATATGGCTTATACTTATCCTTAATGAGAAACTAAGTGGTGACACAATTTAATCAACTGAAACAGTCAGATTCCTCTCAGAGGCACCAGGGTAGAAATTAGGCCACAATAAGAATGTGGTACTTTGCATATTTTCATGCAAAGCCAGTTGTAAGCCAAGACATAAAGTGCCAATTTTAATATGTTGTTTAGTTTTCCAAGCTTCCTCAGCATGTTCATACTACTTTTTGTTACTGGATAGAGGATGAAGAAATAACTACCACATGTGTAAAATAATGCCAATCTCTTAAAACTAAGTATCTTAAAAAAAATGAAATATGTAAAAAGCAGAAAATGTAGTCTGTCAAATGGCTACATGGCATTTTGTGCTTACGCCTCTGAACTCCATGCAATGCAGAAACTAGAGCATGTAATATGATTTATACATAACCAAAAGCCCCATCTATAGCTAGAGGAGGGCATCTATAATCTATTCAAACAGGTGGTCTCAGGATAAACTTGGAGTATGCCTCAGAGGGAAAGATAATCTGTTAGTTTGGTTAAAAATGACTAAAAATATAACATTTAAGCGTTGCATTACATCAAATTGCCTGAGTGGGGAATTTAAGTGCCAGAAAATCAGGGATATACAGCCCCTTTAATGATTTTTTAAGATCAGCGTTGTGCTATTAAAAAGTAGTATTCATCTGTAATTTTCATTCACCATCTGTGACACCCAATTAGAAAAAAAATCAGTTTGGCAGCTTTTAATTGCTTATCTAGAGCTTTGAAATGCCTTTGTTCTTAAAATCTATAATACTGGCACATAGCATCAGTATGCAGTTGATCTGCCAAACAGTGGGACAATATTTTGGGCAGTTTTCATCCAAAGATAAATTCTTTTGGTCATATAAATAATTAATTTTCTTGAAGGAATCAGAAGTATCTTGTATTTAATATGAAGATCTTTCTTTTGCCCCATGAACTCTTGCCTTTAAAACAAGGTCATAGTTCTACAGTTTCTGTTACACTTCAGGAGTTGAGCCAAGGATCAAGACTACTGCAGCTATAAAAATGATCATGGTCTTCCTGAAATTGTAATAGAAGTTGATAGAGTTGCTACGGTAAGTGAGGTTTCACATAAATGATGGACAGTGGGTTGGGTGCTTTTTGATTCCAGCAAGTCTGTTGGATGGAAGACAACAGGACAGAATCAGGAATGAGTTTTACAAAGCTTTAATCTCATAATGTATGTGAGAAGAGAAATAACTTTCACACCAGGAAGATGGGATTAACCTTGATTCCCTATATGATTATTTAATCTCATCTCTAGTTTTATTCAAATTGTTCAATGATCCATATTATGTTTACCTGTGTTACTAAAGAAATAAAAAGACTCTTAAAGGTCCTTCACTAGGAATAACTACTCCATCAAGGAGTTAATTTGTTACATTTACTTAAGACAACATACTTTTGGGTAGTATCAGGGAGATGGATGTAGAGGGGGCAATTTTTTATTTTTCTTTTTTCTGTAATAAAAAAAATGTAAAACTGAAGAAAAAGCTGTGTGGGAGAAGGTAACTCAGAAGCAGCACTCTAGGAATCAAGTCTGGGTTCTAATTTTAGGTAAGTTAGGCATGTATGCAAAACTCAAACTAGAAGTTGTAGGTCTAATAGCATGCAGGCACAATGCTTCCTGGGGTATGTGATTCATAGAGGAATTAAAACATCCTTTAAAATGGCATGATAAAATTGTCACTCAGTCTAAATGAAATGTGTTACTTAAGGATAACGGAATGTAAATTCTGAAAAGCTCCCAGGAAACGGTGAGAAACATGACCACCATATCTATGGAGGGGAGCAAGTGCAAACTTTCATATCACACCTGCAAACTCGTGTTATGGGTACTACATTTCTATGAAGAAGAGACACAAGGGGTAGTCTGATGACAGGCAGATGATAAGTGTGTATTCAGGGGGAATCATCTTTCACAAAACAACAGGCATGACAGGAAGCTGCCTAGAGCCAGTGGCCTTTTGATGGAGAAGTGGTGCCTCTCGCCCAGGGCCAAGGTTTAAAGGTGAGCACTAGAAGATTTAAAAGACAAATTACCAACTGGTTGCCAAGAATATCTCATGTGGGATTTGGATCATGAAAGGTCTGCTGTGGCAGGCAAGTGCTTTAAAGATCTGGATTTCTTAAGAGAAGCCCCTGAAAAACCACACATGACAATTTGGAAGGGAAATACATTTGAGACAGGTTTTATGTTTTGATTTTCCTATCTGAAGTTTTTATCTTCTCACAGTGCCTCCCATTTTTTCAATCACAAAATTAACACTTTGCAGCCTTCAATACAACTTATAGTTTTAATTTCAAAATTGTTCTGTGCTTAAAAAATAAAATTAAAAGGCTGCCACCCAGTTTGGGCCTTAGCTTCAAAACAAATATTCAGATGAGACTTACATTTTATTTGTGGAAGATATGGGCTGTTTCCTGGTAGTTACAGGTTTCTTCCTGCCTTTCTTATGCTGGCTGTTAAACATCAGTTAACGGCATTCACTGGTACGCTGCAAGTTCAGGATTACTTTAGCAATCCAAAGATTTCACAAGGATTTTCCAGGTTGATTTTTCACCTACTCGATGCTTTCTCTTCTAGGTAGCAAATAGATGCTTCCCAAACAGAAATATGGTTTTTAAAAAGCTTCTGCTGACAACACAATGCCAAAGAATTAAACAAAAGGGAAACAGTTAAATGGTTTCCTCTGCAATTGCAAAATTAGTTTGCCCATCAATGGATACTTGCAAAAAAATTACTGAACACCAAACTGGAACTAGCACTGAGAGAATGGAGTTTTGTGAGGAGTGAAACCTTGTACAGAGCAGGCCAGTGTTCTGCTTGGCCTTCTCATTCCATGAAGTAAACGCAGGGCACATATATTCCTTAAAAGTTAGCCTTTAAATCTAGCACATATACTATTTTCAAGAAGTTGCGCTTTTCTATAAACTACAAGATCATTGGGGATATAAAAGGTCTACTGTAGCCTTGGAGCTGCCCTGCTCTTTGCTTTATGGGCTTATTTATAGCTATATAAGTCATACCTCCGGGGCTGATCTCCGGTAGGAGTTCTCTGCCACTAGAAAAAACAGCGTGTTAAAAATTTAATAAAAGCCTTATGA